ACGGATTTTGGTAAATAGCTAAGTGTCTTCCTGAAAATGTCACGCTAATTTTCTCTGTCTCTCAACTCCAGTTCCTGTGAAGGGCTGGAAAGCTTCAGCTGGTGACTCCACCTCCTTTGCTGCTCTACCCCAGCCTCCTGCCACGCCCCTTGCGCTCACTCACCACACCCAGGCTCACAGTCTTTCCTTCAGGCTCTGGCTCCTGCCATGCCGCTGTGTTTGTCCTTCCTTCTACCTGCACTTCTCCTGTCAAAGATCCTTTAGGTTGCAGTTCGCATATCACCTCCCAAAGGCCTTCACTTGACCATTCTTTTTAATGTCACTTTCCAGGCAGTGCCCTGCTGACAAATAATGGCTGAGGGTTTCCAGAATAGAAGAAAAATGTTAACTTCAAAAGTGACTTCAGGGCTGGTGAGATGTCTCAGTGGTCTAAAGCACCTACTTAGAACAAGCTTAGCAAATCACAGGGACAGTGGTTCAATCCCCCAGCAGCACATGCCAGCCAGCCCCGCCCCCTGGTGGTCTGAGCTGGCCACACACACACACACACACACACACACACACACATAAATAAAATTAAAAAAAAAAAAAAAAAAGGGACTTCAGGGCTGGGGAGATAGCTCAATTGAATAAGCGCTTCCCTGGCAAGCGCAAGGTCCTGAGTTCAATCCCCAGTACCACAAAAAAATAAATTAAATAAGAAAGCATTGTATTGAAATAATTTTGGGCCAGGGAGATAGCTCAGTAGCATAAGCGCTTTCCTGGCAAGCGCAAGGTCCTAAGTTCAATTCCCAGTACCACAAAAAAAAAAAAAAAAAAAAAAAAAAAAGTTACTTCAGCCATTACAGCCAAATTAATACATATTTCACCAAATATTTCCAAAACAGTCCAGCAACACACAATGGAGTTTTCCATTCAGTATCTTAAGCACAAAAATAGGCTATGTTTACAGTAGTTAAGGTGATCAAGTTTTAAACAGAAGCAATTTAAAGGCACTTAAAGCAAACAAACAAAAAAGCTGTGAAAATGGCCTTGGAGCATTATCTTTAGTTACTTGAAGTGTTTCTAGTTTTTTTTAATACAGTTTTATGTTAAAATAATTTTTATTAATTTAGAGAAGACAATCAGTGTCTGTGAGAAAAACAAACTTTCTTTTGGATTTTCTTTTTGTCGTCATTGTGAGTGATTGCTTCTTCCTTTTCTCAGTTTCACATGCTTCCTTTGTTCTAAAACTTAGACTGACATCTAGCTTTGACAATCATAGTATGTTTTATTTTCCTGAGGGGGAGAATAACTTATAATGCTGTTTAGTTTTGTACTATTGATGTGTTGGTGAATTTTTCAACTGTGTGCTAACTGCAATAAATTATGCGAACTGAGAAAGAAAAAAACAAAAGCAAAACAACAACAACAAAAAAAGTTATTTCAACAAGAAAGAATATGTACTGTAAAGGAGGAATGCAATGTAAGAAGCAGTGGTGGACCAAGAGAGCAATAAAACTTGCATTAGCAAATCTAATACTTCATGGGTGGTATAATCTTAGTGATGTAAATCAGACATGCAAGTTTAAATATTGCACTGTTTCCCTTGAATGAAAAACCCAAAAGGTAAATAAGAAGCATTATGGAGGATAGATAGTGGGAAGTAAGAAGAACATGTTCAAATCGGAAGGGGAACAAGAGGGTGATGGGGGAGAAAAGGAAGATAAAAAGGAAAAATAGAAGGGAAGGGTAAAAATTTGGATGGGGAAGGGAAGACAGGTTGAAGGTAGGATAGGCGAATGGGGAGAAAAGAATTAAGATATATTATGTAAGTCCAGGGTGATAGCTCAGTGGCATAAGCTCCTGTGGGGCAACTACAAGGTCCTGAGTATGATCCTGGTACCAAAAACTAAAAAAGGTATTTTATGTACAGGAAAAAAATTCCCTATGATGAATGTGATCAATATGTATGATAAATATGTACTAATAAAAAAGTAAAGTTAACAAAGACTTTAAAACACTTAATGAATGTTAAATCATAATCCTGAGAGTTTAAAAGCATGGAGGAACTAAAATACCAGACAACTGCAATGTGGAACTTATGAAGAAAGGAAGAAATTAACATATTTTATGTATTTACAGTAGAAGTCTTGCCCATTTTAATTTCTGACTCTGAAAGACAAAAAAGGTTAAATATGCATCTTTTGTTGTGGTTTGTATCTGGATGTCCCCCGAAGCCTCATGTAGTCACTGGGGCAGCTTCTAGAGTTTGTGATTAACTCATGGCCCAGTGCTAGGGACTATAGGTGTCAGCGCTGCTGGGATTAGGGGTGTGAGTGCTACACCAGCCCTGGGACAGACATCCTGAAGGGTATATAAGGACAGAGGCTTGCCTTTGCTGCCACTGTCGCTGCTCCACTCTTTTTGCTCTTGCTGTTTTGCTGTTTTCTACTGCCATGAATTTCTTTCCTCTTCCATGTACCACCCTGCCTTGGAGCCAGCCACAAACTGTGAGCTAAATAAACTTTTTCTTCCTTAATTGTGGGTGTCGGTATTTTGTCCCAGCAATGAGAGAAAAGTAACCAAGATATTTTAAAAGTATGCCAGAGGGCTTCTGAGAAGACAACAGAATGGTGAACAGCAGAGAAACAGCTTCTCTGATATTTGGAATTCAGAAGCTGGAATATAGCAGCATAAGGAAGAGGAAGAGGGGAGTGGATTTACCCCAGACTCGGCAAGGGTCTGAAGTGATGATTAGAACCCATAATGAGAGCAAAAGAGAGGGATTAGAATGCAGAGAGGGGGGTGCCAAGTAGGGCTTTCTCCCTGAGTCCCCGCTCACAGTGTGGAAGGGGTGGCTTGAATCTGCAGAAGCATGGAGACTACAGGTGACAACAGAGGCCTCCACAGAAAAATGCATGTGTGGAATGGGGAGTGGACGCAATGGACTTCAGTGGCTGGTGAACTATTTGTGTTCAGTCATCCCCAAGAGAGGGCAATTGGCTAGTAGCCATCTTGGAGAGGAACCAACTGGCTCAGAACTGAGAACAGCTGTGAGCTGGCTCCATCCAGCAGCTCCCAGTGTCACCATGAGGCATAACCAAGTTCCAGTCAGCAAGAGGTAAGGAAGCCAAGTTCAAGCCATCAAGAATCACTTGGAGTATCATTGGCTGAAAAACTCAGGCCCCAGTCTCACAACCAGAAACTAGGAACAGCTTCAGCTTCAGGGGAAACCCAAGACACAGGTCTGCTGGGATCATCTACCACCACAATTCTATTCCTGGCTTCCTGGGCTCAATCAATGTGGATCCAGCTAAGGGGGCTCAGTCTGCCCCCTTAGTTAACCAGTAACAGCAGACACTTATCCCTGAAGTGGACATTTTAGTTTTTCTTTTTTTTTCTTTCTCTCCTTAATTGTTTTCTCTTTTCTTTGTTGTGTGTTATGTTTTGACATAAGTGAGAATATTGTTTATAGTTTTCTGGATTTTATTTGTCTTGTTTTGTTCTTGTTTCAGTTTCTTCCTTCTTTCTTTACCTTCTGTCTGCTTCACCAGGTCCCAAAACTTGTATAATCTTCCTTTGTCCTTCAACCTTGTTTCTAACTCTTCTGTTTCTCTTTTTTTCCCCTAATCCTTTTAGCTTTTCTCCTCTAAAGATAAAAACCCCTATATTGAAGAAGTGCTTACTTTACAAGATGTTCTAGTTTGTTTTAGAATTGGTCATATAACTACAAATCATGTTCATATAACTAAAGATGGCAAATTAACAGTTATCACAGTTTGTCATTTTTAGGCTGTATTTGATGCTTTTGTTACTAATGATGGTACTACTTTAGTCAAGGTGATATAATTCTAATCAGTTGTTCTTTGTATTCCAAGACAGAAATTGCCTGAGGATCATAAAAAATACCATAAGCTAGTGTCAGAGAGCAAAAGGCTAGGCCAAATAGGTAGCAACTTCTCAGCTTCAATAAATTGAAGAGGTAGAATTTTGTAACAGATTCAAAACCCAAAGCCAACTACATCTGCAAGACATCTCTAAGAAGTAAGCCATTTCCTAAATGTTCTCAATTCTAGAAATAAAGTTATCAACCACAAACAATTTACAAGAACCAATACAGGAATTAAATTGAAAAAATAAAAAGTGAGATGACACTTAAGATACAGCCTCAGACTTACAGCACACCAAAGGCAAATCCAGAGTGCAATAGGTGGAACAATTTGAAAACCATCTACCTACACTCTCTGAAGCAGTAACAGTGGAAATAATAAAACAAATGAGGCTTTAGAAAAAAAATCAAATCAGAAATAATTTTTCAGATATCTTCAGAGCTGATGGCCACAATAAAGGGTACACTTAGTGACTCCAGAGAAGATAAGGACCAAAAAAATAGAGGAGTGGAGGAAAATGATGGAAGCTATGAACACCCAACATAGGAAAGAAATGGAATCCATGAAATAGATTCACTCAGATATCCATGAGATTAAAAATGCTATTGAAAGTATATGCCGCAGAATAAACAGCTGTGAGAACAGAATAACAGATCTAGAAGACAGGATTGTGTTAGTGATCATTAAAAAAAAGATTTGTTTAGCATAGTAAGAGACCACATACACACAAAAAAAAAATCAACCCAACACCTGCTAGACAATGCAAAGAAGAATAACATAAGATTGATAAAAGTCAATGCAAAAAGCAGAAGACAGTACAAATGACATAAAAACCTGTTCACAGAAGTCATGGCAAAGAACTTCCCAAGCATATAAGAATTTGACACACAAATAAGTGAGGCATAGAGAACTTGAGTAGCCATGATCAAAAAGAAATAAATCCATCCCAACGCATATGATAGGATGCCAGAAATTTAACAGGATGACAAAGTATTAAACATAGTTAAAGAAAAAGAAACAAATTACTTACAACCTCCACCCAAGACTGATGCACCCTGAGAAATTATCTTTCAAATCAATGGAGGAATAAGATATCTTCATGAAAAATAACAACTAAAGAAATTCATGACCACCAGACCAGCTCTATAAAATGATCTGAAGGATATTTTAGAAAGAGATAATGAAAACCGCAATTGTAAGAATGGTAATAGAAAAAACACAGTAGGCAAGGCAAACAATTAAGTAGAAGGGAAAGACAGGGAACCAACAACAAAAAAATAGTATGACAAAGATCAACCAATACATATCAGTTACAACCATCAAGGTAAATGGTCTAAATTCACCAATCAAAAGAAACAAGCTGGCAGAATTAATCAAGAAACAACAGTGTGGGCGTAGTGGCACATACCTGTAATCCCAGCGCTGGGGAGGCTTAAAGCAGGAGGATTACCATGAGTCCAAGCTGCGTAGTGAAACCCTGTAACAACCAAATACATTAAAACAAAAAAAGGCTTTTTGTGGGTGGCGGCAATGGAGAAGTGAGCACCATGAAGGCCTCTGGCACACTCCGGGAATACAAGGTGGTGGGGTGCTGCGTACCCACCCCAAAGTGCCGCACACCGCCTCTGTACTGCATGCAGATTTTTGCACCCAATCACGTTGTTGCCAAATCCCCTTTCTGGTGCTTCGTGTCCCAGCTGAAGAAGAAATCTTCAGGGAAGATCGTCTACTGTGGGCAGGTGTTTAAGAAGTCTCCACTACGAGTGAAGAACTTCGGCATCTGGCTGCGCTACGACTCCCTCAGTGGCACCCACAACATGTACCGGGAGCACCGGGACCTGACCACAGCGGGCGCCGTCACCCAGCGCTACTGGGACACGGGCGCCCGGCACCGAGCCGGCGCCCACTCCATCCAGATCATGAAGGTAGAAGAGATCGCAGCCAGCAAGTGCCACAGGCCCACTGTCAAGCAGTTCCGCGACTCCATGATCAAGTTCCCGCTGCCCCACCGGGTTCTGCATCGCCAGCACAAGCCCCGCTTCACCACCAAGAAGCCCAACACCTTCTTCTAGGGGCAGTGCCAATAAACCCGGCACCGCTCCGAAAAAAAAAACCCTTTGGAATGGCCAGATAGCTCAGCAGATTAAAGCACCTATTTAGACAGAGTGAGGGGACCCCGGTTCCATCCCTGGCGTGCCATGCCAGTCCCACCCCCGGAGCATGCTGAGATGGTGATAGAGACTGGGCTTGGTAGAAAGCACCTGTAATCCCAGCACTTGGGAGGCTGAAAACAGGAGGATCACTACAAGTCCAATCTGTGTAGTGAGACCCTGTAGACCCTGTACTAAATACATAAAAAAAGAAAGAAAGAAATAAGATCCAACAATATGCTGCATACAAAACACACATTTCACTGAAAATGAAATTCTTAGACTGTAAGTCAAAGGATAGAAAACAGTATTTCATGCAGAAATACAGGAAACCAGGAAAAAAGTAAGGGTAGTTATTCAATTTGCAGACAAAGTAAACTTCAAGCCAAAACTGATCAAGAGAGACAAAGAAGATCACTACATACCTGTTAAGGGAAAACTCCAAGAAAAAGAAATAACAATCACAAATATAGATGCACCAAATACTGGTGCATCCAACTATATAAAACAAGTATTAATGGACATGGAAAATCAAATAACCACTAGCATAAGTATAATGGGGGATCTTAACACAACACTATCAAAATAAATAGATCAATTAGACAAAAAAAATCCACGAAAATCATAACTTAACCTATGGATAAACGGATTTAGAAGATGTCTTCAGAATGTTCCACCCCACAACATCATAATATACATTCTTTTAGCTTACATGGGTTTTCTCCAAAATAGACTACATACTATCCAATAAGATGTGTTTAAGTAAGTGCAAAGAAATTGAAATTATCCCATGCATATTGTCTGACTACAGTGCAAGGAAAATGAAAAGCAAAAGCAAAAGAAACCTCAAAAACTACATAAAAACATGGAAATTAAATAACACCCTCCTGAACAACCAATAGGTCACAGATGAAATTAAAGTAGAAGTTAAATGGTATCTACAGTTAAGTGGTAATGCTGATACAACATAACAGAACTTACGGGATCGCCTGCCCGAGGAGACCACGCCACTGCCAGTGCCCGCAGCAATAGACTGGCAGCAGCATACCTGCTGTTAATGGACACCAACTGTCAATAAAGCAGTGGTGAGTCAGGCTTCAGGGGCTTTCAATTCTGGCCAGAAAGACTTTAAAGATATTGCTGAGGGAGGACAACTGTTAGCAGCCTGTGGAGAAAATGGCTAAAGTCCATCTCTAGTGCATGGGAGACAAGAACCCAGTTAAAATGTGAGCATTGGGGCTTGAACCTTCTGAGTTTTAGAGGAAAAGTATAAACAAGTTGCTTATGTGCTTTGGGTATGTTTCTTCATCTCTGAATCAAATGGAATGATGCCCCCTCTCTAAGTTTGAGAAGAGATTAAATTAGATGATAGTACCAGGAGTTCACAAGCCTTTAATGAATGGCAGCTATAACTAATTACTAAGGTAAAGACCTGCTAATTTACAGAAACCAAAATTACAAGAAAATAGCAGAGAAAATACCAAAATTAAGAAAGGAAAGCTTTATTCAGTTCACAGTTAGTGGAGGTTTCAGTCCATACTTCAGTTTATACTCAGCTGGCTCCAGGGCAGAGTAGCACATTGCAGAGGGAAGCAGTTCATGGTGGCAGAAAACAGCAAAGCAAAGGGAGCAGCAGCTTCTTCCAAGGCTCTCTCCCTTCCTTCCATGCTAAGAAGACCAGAGCTCCTCCAAGGAAGTGGCACCAACCATCCTTCCTCCAGTCCCTTTATATATTGTTTAAGTGCTGTCACTCTAGGGAGAGCCCTCCATGCCCTCGGGAAGGCCTTCCATGCCCCAGAACCAGCCCCCACACCCTAGGGAGGAGTGTAGAACTACACAATGTCCATACCCTTCTCTTGCACAGGATGAGGATGTTTACAAAGAAAGAACCCTGGCTCTCTGCTGAGTCACTTAAACTTCTAAACTTCTCAAGTTGACACAATGTATCAACCACTACAGAGTTTAATGTAGTAAATTTTACTGTTAAATACAGATAAAGTTATAAATGCATAGAATGCAAGAAAATATTTAATACTACTAAGATATATTCAATATCATGTGAAAGTCTATTATCCAAGCAATATATTGGGAAAGTTTATGTCTTTGAAGAGTACTGATACTCTCTCACTCCCACACTTCCATGAAGGTGATAGAAGCACTTTTAGAATATAGACCTATTGAGACGTGGCTTCCAGTACATGCTGGGAAAGCTCAGTGTGTAATCTTTAAGCTGGAGGGGGTGGTTATCTTAGGCTCTTTCCTAACTCATGCCTGAGAAAGCTGAAGTTGCCAATAGCCATAGGACATGGAACCCACATTTCTAGGTTTGTTGGAGGGTTGAGAGCTTTCTGCAGAATAAATATTTGTCGCTCCACCAACAGCAAACCAGGCTAGATATACTGGAAGTTCTTCCCAAGAAGACCACAGGAAGAGGAAAGGTCATTGATATATTCTCAGCTGTCAGACCAGGGAAGAAGGTGGGACAAGGGCATAGCAGCTGGAGGAACAAAATCCATTGCCCATGTCACATATCATGTTAGGCTCTAGTGGACCCAAGAACATGTCACACAAGAGTCTATGTTAGACTTCTACCAGGCTCAGAGAGCAAGCCATGTAAGAACTGTCCCATCCCTAGCCAGCTCTCTTCAACCTTGGCCATTTGGGGTTGGAGGGGACATACTGAAATCTGCTTCCTACATCAGAATTTCTTACCATCATGCCAAGTTAGGTAAAAAGAAAGGTACAAGGAAGAGGGACGAGAGAGGGAAAGGAAGAAAGAAGAGAAGGAGAGAGGAGTCTTACCTGCAAATGAGATGTTGATTATAATCTTGGATGGATATTTCTTCAAGTTTTTTATTACGAGGAATTTAGAAAGATGTTCATCATCCAAATACAATGATTGCTAGTGTTTTGCATACAGTGGTGCCTCAGGTCCTGAACTCAATTCATTCCACAATTCTGGGGAAGAAAGCCATGGCATATACATCATCCAACTCGGAGATGCAAAACATTACCAAACACTTCTGTTGGTGAATAGAATTGTTCTTCAGAAGAAGCACTCATGAACCAAGGTATTACTGTATTTGGTTTTGTTTTGGTTTTTTCTGGTGTTCAAAAGAGGTTGAGGATGTATAGCATTTCACATTCTGGATATTTCAGACTGCCTCTTTACAGAATGGAGATCTTTACATGCATGCCACAGCAACTGTGGAATTAGTGGAGTCTTGTGTGCCTGATACAGGTGCAGTTTCCCTAAGTGTCTCTGAGATGCAGAGATGATAGATAGATGATAGATAGATAGATAGATAGATAGATAGATAGATAGATAGATAGATAGTTGCAAACTTTCACAGACTACTGTATAAGACTCATTTTGCCAGCTTGCAAATAAATTTGACTTATGAACAATTCTTTCAATAGAACTCATTGGTAAGTTGGGGACTTACCATATACAGTAATACCTAGGTTCACTAATGCTTCTGTATGCAAACAATTCAGTTCACAAACAAAGGTATTCAAAAAAACTTTTGCTTCCTTTCACAAACTCCACATTGGGTAATGTCTTGGTTGCTTTTCTCATGGCTGAAACAGAATACTCTACACTCAAAGTTAAATGATGAAAGGTTTATTTAGTTTACAGTTTACAGAGGTTTCAATCCATAATCAGCTGGCTCTAAGGCAGAGTGGTGCACGGCAGAGGGCCAACAGTTCATGGTGGCAAAAGCAACAAGAGAGACAGCAAGGAGAAGCCACTTCCTGTCCCTTATAAGGATATAGGATGGGTATAGCACTTACACTGTCAATCCAAGCACTGGGCCACGAATGGATCACAAACTCTAGATTCAGCCATCTCCAAAAATTTCACCTTCCACTACCATAGCAGGCTGGACAACCAGACATAAGCTATAATAGTTAACAAACATGACCACAGTCTTCTTCCACCACAGACACACAGCCATCTTCCCCAAGTTCATAAAGCAGAACATCTATATTCCCCAGGTATTGTGCAGTACATCTATAATCCCCAGCCCTTGGGAAGCTGAGGCAGGAGGATCACTGCAAGTTGGAACCCAACCTGGGCTACTAGTTCAAGTCCACCCTAAATTACATAGAGAGACCCTATCCCCCCAAAAATGCAAAACTAATTGTTTGTTAATGTTCAGAAAGAGAAATTAGACATTTAATTTCTAAAACTAAGGCTATGATTTGTGACACAGGACTGTCCCCAAAGAATGAGCAGAAAAAAATTTATTCATTCAGGAGTGGAGGAATCTTATCCTGACTGAATAATCCTGAAAGAGATGACAATAAAAAAAGCAAAAATATAAACTTTCAAAAACTGCAATGAAAAAGAAACATTTTGTGAAGGTGACAGACATTGCTGGAAAGACACTGTAGTAAGTTATTCTCATCTTTGTAACCTAGATGTTTAAAAAACATGCAGGAATCTCATACACCACTGATGTGCCCAGAAATCAGTGCACACTCTATATCCAGTGCTGTGGCCATATCTACCAAAATTTTAAAAGCATGCACTCTCCAGCAACCCCTTCCCTGAAAACTTACTCTGTTCACATCTTCACCATATGAAATGACTTTGTAAAAGTATTGCCCTGCAGTATTGTTTCAAAAGAAGATATTAAGTGATCTTACAAGTCCATTAATGAGGAACTAGTTAACATGGTATATATTACTACACATATGATTTATATATTTTATATGTGGTGTCTAAATTGGCTCAAGCTTCTCAGACAAAGTACCATGTACTAACTGACTTTGATAAAGACACTTGGTTCTCACAGTTCCAAAGACTGGTAGATCCAAGATCCAGGTGCCTGCTGGCTGGATTTCCTGGTCAGGGTTCTCTTCCAAGCCTGCAGGCTGCCACCTTCAGGCTATGTCTTCGTATGGCTGACAGAGTTCTTTGATATATCCTCTTAAAGATGCTCCCTTATTAAAGCCTAATCCTACACTCCACCCTCATGACTTCCTGTAGCCTTAATAATTTCTTAATCCAAATGCCAAACTGGGCACTGGGAATTCAACCTACAAACTGGAGTAGCATATACTACAGTATTCCACAACAGGATATGTATGATAGAATTCTCTAAGCCAGTGAAAAGAATGGGGTGCTGTGTGGAAAGACTGTCAATGCTAAACAGTAAAGTCTAGATCCTGTTGCTGGGCAGAGCCCTGGGTGCCCCGTTCATTCTACCTGGTCTGCTCTGAGAGAGGCCTCTGCTAACTACACAGTCAGGTTGCGCTGTCCTCTGCCTTGGGCTGGGGTCAGCATGGGGCATCCTGCAGCAGGAGATGAGAGAGGAGGAGAGAACGAGAACTTCCTCTTCACCATGCCCCTCACCAGCTGAGCAGCTCACACAAAATTACCATGCCCCTTTCTCAACCATCACCTGCCCTAGGTGATGCACTGCCCCTGTGCTTAGCCTACAGCCTGCCCACTCTTGCAAACAATGCACATGCTACACTCCACTCGGATGACTCACTTGGGGTGTGCCATCTGTTTTCTTCAGGGCTCTGGCTGATGCAGCATCTGTATAAAATTAAAAAAAAAAAAAAACAGACAAAATGTGTATGTTCCTGTGTACATATTCATGCTTAGCAAATCTCTGAAAAACTGTGCAAGAAACCACAAGCAGTAGTTGCCTCCAAGGAAGGAAACTGGGTGACTGGGGTGGGAAGAACAGGTGTTTATGTTTGTTGCATTCACTTTGTTTCCTTTTGAATTTTATACTTTATGTGCATATTACTCATTGAAAGATAAGTTTTAATTTAACTTTTTAACTTTTATTTTTATTAGTTCATGTTTGCAAGTACATAATCATGATTACATTCATCATTGGAACTTGATGAATGTACACAATACACCTTAATTCCTTTTACATCCCTTTCTTTTCTTCATCCCCTACCCTCTGTCTCTTGTTCCCCTTCCCTTAATTTTTTTAAAGCAAAGACTACAGAGGGGCTTAGTGCCAAAAGGCTTTACAAGAAGCTATTCCTGGGGCATTGGATGGCATCTGCCCCAGCAATGGCTGCCAATTGAACAAAGAAACAAAGACATAATTAACACTGCCCCATATAGACAAGGAGTGCAATATTCAGCAAACGTTTGATGCATTGAGTCTTAAGCCATTTTCTGATACTCACTGGCAGCAAGATGTTCTTATTAAGGCAGCAACTTTATAACTACAGCCAGCAACTTGTGCTCAGCACATCTTTGCAGCTCCCACCCCAGGTTGGATCAGAGTCATAGTAACCCAAGATAAAGCTTCCTTAGGGCCTGCACCCAGGCCCACCTTCTGATTCCTTCTTGACACCCTAGGGACTCAGAACTAGCTGGGACTGGTTGAGTCACAATGATGTGGCAAGGGACTAGCTTGGAGGCCACAAGGAAGGCTGTGTCCACTTCTCTGGGAGAGTCTTGTTCTCCTGCTTCTCCACAACAGCTGACACATTATTTAGCAAATCTCTATTTTTATCATGGTTATTATACTGAAGTGCTCTTCATTTTCATCTCATTATTGTTGGCAGGGTCATCAGGAGAATTGGTTGCCTGGGAGACAGGGAGAGAGGCTGCTCACTCAGCTCTCTTCCCCAGCCTGTCATTTGATAGCACACTGTTGAATCTTTTCTGGTGGTAGGATGACCACGGTAGCTCATTGGTCCTTCTGGCTCTACCTTCTTCCACAAGTGTCTGGTTCAATGACAGCTCCCTGAATTGTTCTGTCCCCACAGAAACTGAAAGAGAAAAGCCTATCTATATTTTATAGGGAGGTATATAATTGATAGCAAAAACAGATCAGTCATACAAATCCTCTGTGTGCATCTTTCAGGAGAGAATAAAGCTGAAGAAAACCAACTGTAGTATTGGACACACTCAGAATAGAACCACTCTTGCCCCAGAGAGCACAGATTGCTCCTTTCCCAGCTGGAGAAGTCCTTAAAAACCACATTTGTGGAAAGGTGCCACTCTAGACTCCACTGCAGCACCTTGAAACTGCCTATGTCCTTAGAAGGTGGTCACCAGGAAAGGAATGCAAGGTGCCACAGCAAAGGGTTACTGTCTCCATCTGAGGGTGCATGCTTCCCTCCTCACATCCCTGTGCTGCAGCTTCATGGCAGTCACAGAGGTCCCAGGATGAAGGAGGTTCTACTGAAAGCTCTGGGTGATTTTTCTAGGGCTTTCCTCACACCATCCTAGGATGCGGGCTACTTGGGATGGCTAAGGGCTGGAAGAAAGGGAGGCATGTACTTGTGTTAGAGGAGGTGATGAAGAGCCAAGGCCAACAGGGGTCAGACCAGAGCTCTGGACACAGAACAGACCTGGTTATAAGAGAACATGAGGGGGCCTGGCCCTAGCTCAGGCCTTTAAGTGGCTGCTTCCACAAAGCTGTCAGCCTCAGGTTGCTGGAGTTCGAACCTCACACCTCTCCCGCTGGCCAAAAGTGCCCTGAAGGCATTCGAGGAACAAAAAAAAAAAAAAAGAGAGAGAGAGCATGAGGGGCATTTGTAGTTGGAGTCTCATTTCCTACGCTTGGTAGATAGAAGATGGCAGATACCACAAAACAGAAAAGTGAGCTGTGTGCCCAGCCTCTCAAATATAAGGATTGCCTGAAGAAACTGTGTTCTTATCTGGATGGGTAAGGGGCAGATGCTGCCCCTGAGGATCTCTGGGAGATGAGGATGAATAGCCCCAGGTTATCTGCACTTTCAGATAATCATGGTGCACATGCAAGAGCAGACAGAGGCCACTCCGCAACACTGGAACTGTGGCAACAAACAAACCCCCTGTTGGGGATGAGGTTAGGGCACATACAGAGCATAAGGGTGTGTCCTTATGTTTTGAACATGGACCTACATTAATATGTCATAATAGGTTGGGGGTACAAGCACTCTGGGAAGCTGAAGCAGGATGATCATAAATTTGAGCCCAGCCTGACAACCTAGCAACTGAGCAAAACTCTATCTCAAAAGAAAAAACCGACAAAGACTGGGGATGTAACTCAGTGCAAAAGTCCTGGGTTCACATCTCTGACAAAACTAAACCAATTGCTATCTGGTTATCAATAAAATTTTGAAAAAAAAAAAACTAAACCAAAAAAGGGGATATAAATGAAGGACCATTTTGTATCTGTATATACAAAACAGTTAGGATAGATATACAGCTACTTTCTTTTAATTTAATGAGAAGAAAGATTTATTCTAATAGCGTTGGGCCAGGATATCTTGTACTATGAATAACCACTATGAAGACAACAATATGCAATGTATTAATTATTGAAATTGTCCTACTAATCAGTTTTGAAACTGTCTCATTGCTATTTTTTCTCAATAACATTAATAATAAAATAAAAATAAAAATAAAAAACAAAAGTCCTGAGTTCAATCCTCGGTACTGAAAATGAAAACGACATCATAATAACAGCTAGGATAAACTACCATAAACCTACCCAGAGGATAATTCATTTCATGTACACTATAGCCCCACAAGTTTGTTTCCATTTTACATGTAAGAAAAATAAGTCACAGAAACCTTTCAGAACTGGGGTTGTGGAGCTTCTATTACCAAAACTTGCCCATGAGTTTAGCTCTGGTTGACACACATGCAGAGTACCAGCTGTCCCCTAAGATATGGTCTTCACAAAGCTGGTCCCAAGCAGAGCGATCTGGCCCTTGGTCCTACCTGTCCCTTTCTTACACTGCTCAGCACCATCCCAGGAATTAACAGATCCTAGTATCATTCTGTTTTTCCCCAGTCCTCCTAGATGAGGGCTGTAGAGAGACCAAAGCCAGAGTAGTGGGAATGAGAGCACTGGATGGGGAGTCCGGAAGTGCAGCTCAAGGACAAATGCCATGACAAGAGAGGCAAAGAAGAAAGGAGTGAACAAGGCTCTTGACCCAGCTCTGTGTGGCTATGGACTGAACACAGAGGTCACCAGGTCCACTTGTGTAGGGTGAGGACAGGCAGGGAGGTTGTCACAGGTCTTTGACTTCCTACCACAAACAAATTCTTCTGACTGAAGAGTCAGCCAGATAGCTCAGCAGACTAAAGCACCTGCTTAGGCAGGCGCAGAGACTGGGTTCAATCCCCAGCATGCCATGCTGGCCCTGCACAACAATATATGCTTAGACAGTGACTGAGACTGGGCATGGTGGTGCGCACTTGTAATCTCAGTGCTTGGGAGGCTGAAAACAAGAGGATCACTAGAGTCCAATTTGTGTAGTGAGACCCTGTAGACTCTGTACTAAATACATTTAAAAAAAAAAAAATCTGCTGACTGGATGACACAGATGTTCCAACACAAAAATCAGCACTTATTTGCACTTCGGCTCTAAGCATAAGTCCTTATTCTCTGCCATTTTGGGAGGGTCGGGGGCTTTCCTTTCAAAACATCTGTGTCTGTTGGCAGTATATGCTTTTTTTCTCCTCCCCACCCAGGGCTAATCAGATTTTCCTGCTCCAGCTTTACATTGTCTCCAGGTACCTACTAGCTAGCCTGGCCATGGACAAGCACAATGAAGCCCAAGACTTTAACCACACCAGTCCCAGGGCCTGTTCAACACACCCACCCCTAGCTTGCTCTGAAGGGCAGGAAGGGAGCCTCTGTCCCTCATCCACCACAGCTGTGAAAATCACAGTGTCTCTAGTCTCGGTCCTGGCTATGGTCTGGAGGGTGCTCTGAAGCTGTCTTTCCAGGCATCACCACCACCCCCGCAGGTTGTCATGGTGCCTGCTGCTTCAAACTCTTGATTGGACAGAGCAGCAGATTGTCTCCATGGCAATAAAAAGGATCTGTGCAGAAAAGACATTTGGCCTTGGAAATGAGCCTATGGGTGTACTCCTGGGAAATAAACCTCTTCTGATGGGGGAGGAGGTCAGAAGAGTCTGCTTCTGGGGACAAATGTGCTTCTTCAACCATTGCACTGGCCTAAGAGGTCCAGATTTCTAACAGGAAACTCATCATCCTGTTAGCAGTAGCAGATGCCAGCTCCAGATTCCTGGCTACATCAAGTGAAAACTGCAATTCAAGAGAGCACAGCTGAGACACAGAGCACCTGCTCTTTTAGTGGTCCACAGCATGGACCTCCCTGCCTGCCCCGCTTCTCACACCCTTCCCCAGTCTGCGGAGTCCAGCCTCTTTCCCATTCTGACTTAACCCCAGGCCACCCACTCTTAAGGGGGAGGGCTCAAAGCCCTGAGAACAAAGCCCTTCCCCAAAACATTTGCATTTTTGTAGGACCTTTGATAGCAAAACAAACACATCTCTGCTGGACCTCAGAGCCTCTAGAGGACATTTTTCTACCCTCCTCATGCCCCTCTGTCTGTCCTTCCACCTTTCCAATCTCAAGACTAGGCTTTAGCACAACTCAAGCTTAAGTAGAGCAGGGAAGCCACCAGGGTGTTTGGAGCCTCCCAGTAGCTTTGTAAACTTTCACACCAGGATGAGGGTGAGCTGGGTTCCAGGAAACTGTCTCCCTGGCAAACTCAAGGGCCTGAGTTCAATCCCAGGTCCCACCAAAAAAAAAAAAAAAAAAAAAATCAGTGCTGCTTACGCTTACCAGAAAAAAAAAAAAAAACAGTAGAAGTGGCAAAGGTCTTCATGTCACCAAAGAATTTCTTGATAATTTCCAATTCTAAAGAGAGTTCACTTTGATTCAGCTCCTATTTGTAAATTCCAGCAATGTGATTTCTCATAAAATTCTGCTGCACTAAAGCAAGCTGTTGGCTTTGCAGATGCCTCTATCCTTCCTCTTAGTCGTTTGTTGCCAACCATGGTCAACCCCACCATGTTCTTCGATATCACTGCCTACGGCGAGCCCTTGGGCCGCGTCTCTTTCAAGCTGAGCTGTTTGCAGACAAAGTTCCAAAGACGGCAGAAAACTTTCATGCTCTGAGCACTGGAGAGAAAGGATTTGGTTATAAGGGTTCCTGCTTTCACAAAATTATTCCAGGATTTATGTGCCAGGGTGGTGACTTCACACGCCACAATGGCACTGGCGGCAAGTCCATCTACGAGGAGAAATTCAGTGATGAGAACTTCATCCTGAAGCACACAGGCCCGGGCATCTTGTCCATGGCAAATGCTGGGCCGAACACAAACGGGTCCCAGTTTTTCATCTGCACTGCCAAGACTGAGTGGCTGGATGGCAAGCACGTGGTCTTCGGGAAGGTGAAAGAGGGCATGAACACGGTGGAGGCCATGGAGCACTTCGGGTCCAGGAATGGCAAGACCAGCAAGAAGATCACCAACACTGACTGTGGGCAGCTCTAACACATGTGACTTGTGTGTGTTGCCACCACCAGACCAGACCATTCCTCTAGCTCAGGAGAGCACCCAGCACCCTCCCTGCTCAAAACACCCCATCATCTCTGCTCTTCTTGCAGTTCTTTGGGTTCCATGCTTTCCTTGCTCCCCTCCAAATGTACCTGAATTGCAGAGTTAAGTTTATGGTTATGAATAAAGCTAAATAATGAAAAAAAAAAAAAGCAAGCTGTGATGTCACTGTAAGTTGCCTCTACCTCGAATGCTCAGTGTCTCTGCTTCCTCCTACTGGCCCAGCCCAAGAGCAAGTGCTTTGTCTCACTTGCTGTCATACGCAAATAAGGTGGCCTGCCCCCTCTTAATGATCCTGGGTTTCTCCTGCAAGTTCTCACCAAAAAGAATTTTTTTTTTAAAAGGCCTCTGTCTAGCTGGATGCCAGGCCTTAACATGCCAGCACTCTGGAGGCTGAGGGAAGAGAATCATGAGTTCAAACCCAACCTGGGCAACTTAGCAACTTAGTGAGAACCTGCTTCAACAGAAAAAACAAAAAAGGTCTAGGGGTATAGCTTAGTGTGAAGGTCTTGATTTAGATACCCAATACTGAAAAAGAAAATCAGACACATGGATCTAGATTCTGGCTTTGTTAGTTATTTCACAGTGTAACTATCTTCATTAGCTTCCTCCAAAAGTGGATCTTAACCATTAGAGACACACAAATTAAAACAACACTGAAGTTCCATCTTACCCCCAGAAAGAATGAGCAGGCCAGCAGGAGGAGCTAGCCTAAGGATGCAGTGAGGAGTGGCACTATGGGCAATAGGCCTCATTTCCAGAAGGACCTAGTGAGACACAGCCGGAAGGTCTTTCAGATTTCTCCACCTGTGAGACCAAAACCAATGCCTACCTACTCCTATTTCTTGCTGCATTAACCCTGCGCTTCTGAACTTCTTTATGCACAGCCCAAACAGGCTTTCCTGGAGCTGCTTAGGCATGTGAGGGACATCTTTGGAATCACAATTCCCCTACAGCCAAATAGAGGTAAGACAAACTATGATTTTTAAAAGAGAGAATTCCTGAGAAACACTGTGGTGCCTGGCCCAGAATAAAGGCTCAGTCAACAGCGGCTGCTAGGACCTGAGGGGGAGTGCCTCTGTTGAGTGGTCTGCAGCCGCACCCCACCTTCAGAGGATTCACTTATTTATTCAACAAACCTTCACTGAAGACTTTCTTGGCACTCAGCTCTCTGATAGAGGCTAGAGATTCAGAGATGAAAGCCACTCCTGAGCTTTAGGGAAACACAACAGTGACGCCCATGCATTGTGATCAGTAGGAATAAAGCTCCTAAGTGCAAGGGGTGATTATAGGAAAAAAAGAAAAGAAAAAGATTGAAAAGGAGGCAAAGGCAGGAGGAGCTCTGGGTAATCTGCCACACCAAGAAATTTGCATAGTAGGCCTAAAGCTGGTGGGAAGTCACACCAAAGGATTTGTTCTCCGCCCCTCAGTCATTCCCCTTGCTGTCCTTTGAATATCTTCAGAATTCAGCTGTTGACACAGAGGTGTTTTTGTTGTTGTTGTTGTTGTTGTTGTTGTTTGCGGAATTGGGGATTGAACTCAGGCCCCTGTGCTTGCGAGGGGAGCACTTATTCCATTGAGCCATCTCCTGGGCCCTGACAGAGGTGTTTTTTAATTCATTTTTCTCAGTTTCTTGGGGAGGGGCTGTGTTTGTTTCTTTTTCCTGTGTTCTGTTCTTTGTTTTTCTTCTTTTTCTTTTGTCTTTTTCCTATTATATTTCTTATCTAATTCTATTAACTTTCTTTCATTCTTTTTTTTCTTCTTTCATTCTTTAATTAGCTTTTTATCTCAGTTTTTTCCCTTTTCTTTCATTTTCAAATTTACTTCTTTCATTCTCCCCTTCTCTGTCCCCTCAATTTTTATTATTACTCTTAAGCTTTACTAATTTTTAGCAATTTAGTTTGGCTTTTTGCTAAATATTACTGAATTATTTTCTCTTGTTAATGGTGGTATACTTGTTGCTTTTGGTATATATTTACCACATGGCAGTATTTAGTTTGTCTTTGTGTCTATACTTTTTTTTCATTTAATAATAAAATTTTATTTTTCCAAATGTACACCTGGTTAAACCTATTCATCATGCATCTTCACCAGTGCCAGGGGCATCTCCACCTTTAGTATTTCTGGTATAAATAACTTGAGCTCTGGGCTTTGAGACAAGCTTGATAAGCCCTTTACTAAGGCGCTCTTGAAGGGCTGCTCTGGCCACTGATCTACTGATCTTCAGTCTCTCAGAGACCACAGTAGGCCTCTGTTTATAAGTTTATTGTTGGAAACTTCCTTACAGAGTTTGTTGTAAGTAGCTTTATCAAACAGAACCAGGTTGTTGGGCTTGTCCTGAACTTTGCCTTTGGGCCACTTCTTCTCTTTGGCCTTGCCCCCAGATTTGTTCACTGGGTCTTTGTTTTTCTTGGCCACCTTTCTGGCATCTTTCTTCTTGTCCTCTTTGGGCAGCATCACAGAGCCCAGAGAGCAGCAGCTACCACTGCAGGCCTGCCAAGATCTGTTTCCACATTATTATTGCAAGTCTCTTCTTTATTATTAAGATAGTATAACTGCAGTGACATTTGGCTCTTACTGTGTGCTACTAACTAGTTTGCCTTTGGCTTTTTTTTTTTTTTTTGGAACCGGGGATTGAACTCAGGCCCTTGAGCTTGCCAGGGAAGCGCTTATTCCACTGAGCCATCTCCCCGGCCCCCTGGCTCTTATTATTGATTTCCTTTCTTTTTTATAATTTTTTGAAAATGTATTTGATACAGGGTCTCACTGCACAGCTCAGACTCCTAGTGATCCTCCTATTTTCAGCCTCCCCAGAGCTAGGATTACAGGAGTGGAGCAAAGTTTTTCAAACCCTGAAACAGTTGCCAAGCCAGACATTCAAATCCTATTGAAGAAGCCTTCAAAACTGATAGAGAACTAAAAGTTTTCTGTAACAAAGAAACCCTAAGGAAATACATGACCACTCAACCAGAATTGCAGAAAATACTTAGGGGAATCTTAGACAGAGACAGAGAGGTCATCAGCCTCAAAGAGCCCAAAGGAAATTAAATATCTTACTAGAATAGTAGTTTAAAAAAAAAAAAAGGAAAAATAATGCAGTGACAGGATTAAATCAACACCTTGCAATAATAAGTGTCAATGTCTGAGGTCTCAACTCCCCAATCAAAAAATACAGACTGACAGATTGGTTTTAAAATGCAACCATATATTGCCCACAGGAGTCTTACCTCATGCAAAAGGAAGTAAATGCATAGACCTAAAGTAAAAGATGGGGGAAAAATACTCTCGCCAACCGGAGCCTGAAAACAAGCAGGAATAGTTATTTTGTTTTCAGACATCAAGCCAAAACTGATCAAATGAGACAAAGATGGCCATTGCATACTTACTGATAAAGGGAACAATTCAACAGGAAAAGATAATAGTTGTAAAAAACTATGTACAGAATGTCAGTGCACCCAGCCTCATAAAACAAAAATTACTGGCCTTTAAAGAACAGTTAGATCCCAATACAATCACAGTGGGGAACTTCCTTTTTTTTTTTTTTTTTTTCCCCCGGTGGGGGGAAAGAAGGGATTAAACTCAGGCCCTTGCCCTTGCCAGGGAAGTGCTTATTCCAGTGAGCCATCTCCCCAGCCCCTACAGTGGGGGACTTCAACACCCCACTTCCACAACTACACATTGTCAATCAGACAAACAACCAAAGCAGAAACACTGAACAAGTAAACACACATGAATAAACAAATGCTCCTAACAGATATCTACAGAGAATTTCATTCAACAACAGAATACACATTTTTCTCAACAGTAAAAGAAACCTTTTTCAAAACAGATCATTTCTTAGGCCATAAAGTCTGCTTAAATACATACAAAAGAATTAAAATAATCCCCTACATATGATAGGATTAGAGTGGAATACAGCTAGAAACCAACTGCAAAAGAAGTCACAGAAATTATGCAAACACTTTGAAATTAAATAATAGACTATTGAATAATAAATGGTTCACAGAAGAAATAAAATATTCCTGGGCCAATGAGATAGCTCCACAGACTAAGCACCTGCTTAGGTTAAGGGCAGGGACCGGCTTTCAATCCCCAGAACCATCAGCAGTGCCAGCCCAGCCCCTGGGGGCACTGAGCCAGCTACCAAGTTCGGACATGGTAGCACATGCCTGTAATCTGAGCACTGGGGAGGGTGAAAACAGGAGGTTCACCACAAGTTCGAGCTGTGTAGTGAGACCCTGTACCAAACACATAAAAAAAATACATGATTGTAAAGTGTGATCATGAATTTTCATTGTCAACTTGTTTGACTTGAGAGACCCCTATCAAATTACTACAGCACTCTTGTAGAAGTGTCTGGGTGAATCGAGCTTGACCTTGGGAACCATGTCTGATTCATGGCCCCTTCCTGCCTGGCATTACTCCCCTATACTCTGCTTCCCAGACACAAAGTTGAACAGTTTTTCTCTACAAAGGCTTTTCACCATGATGTTTCTACCTTGGAGCCAACTGACTCTAGACCACTATCTCTGAGACCATGAGCCAAAATAAACCTTCTGTCCTTTGAGTTGTGTTCATCATTCTGTCCCAACAACAGAAAACTGGCTAGCGCACAGAAGGATTTTGTTTTCGTCTTATTCCACCAACTTAACAAAGTGGCCTTGTTTGATGTTGTTCAAAAGCTGTTTCTGTTCAACAGCACACGTTCACCTGGCTGAGAGGCTAAGCTATCTCCTAGCAACATCAGGCCTGGTTGCCAGGGCTGCTTTCCGTTTAGCTAGGGGCTGCTTGCCTTTCAAGCTAAACAGTATAGTTCAATTTGTTACTCTTACTAGATTGCCCGAGCAATACAGACATTGACCTAACTTTTTTAAATTAGTGATTCAACCCCAAGTAAAGATTACCAAGCAAAATTTCGTGAGATAATAAAGGTATTCAGTAGAATATATTTTAAGGCCCCAATGGGCAGGGCCTTGAGTGTGAGCCCCCTGTTAGCTAAAAAGCTGATAGGGATTGGCAAAGTTATCTGCAGCTTGAGCTTTTTAAAGGGCTGGCAGAAATTAATGCCATCTCTGCAACCCTGTCTAAATGGACTATCCCTGCTCAAATCCAAAAATTCCTTCCCAAGGAAAAAGA